TACCCAGCAGACATCCTCTTGCCCTTTAATCAGCTCTATGCACTTTGAAGAGCACTTTAAGAAAGTGGTGGGCTACCAGCAGGGAGATCTCTTACACTTGTGTTACGTGGAACCTTGATTTATTGCACAGGCTTTAGACTCTATAGAAGCCTTTTATACAGGTTGCAGGCTTGCTTAGATCCCATTTAACTTTAATACAGCTGTCTAAACATGGAACTGAACTTGCAGGCTAGCTTTTATGATGGTCTTTGGAGAAACAATTTCATTCTCGAGCGATTTGGTACCATGAAACAAACTACTTCTAAATGTAAAAGCTAAAATTAAAAAGCCTTTTTGATTCAGCTCTAATAGCAATAGCTATAAAAAGCCTTTTTGATTCAGCTCTAATAGCAGTATCTGATACAAAGCTTTTTACAGTTTGGTTGATATATGATGTAATTTGCATTGTGTGTGTGTAGCCACATCTTGCTGCCTAGCTCAACTGTTTGGCAAATAAAAGAAGCTCAAATTTGTTTGTAAATTAAAGAAGATATTTTAGTTTTTCCTACTGTAAGACAAAACTCCAAATGCTTTCACTTTGGCCTGGCATTGTTCTGTTTGCAAAAGTGTGTTTTGTGGTGGTGAGATAGAAACTGTTTCATCTACGCCTTTAGGTGCAAGGTGGATAACAAAACTTCATCAGGGCAATTGTAAGGCCAAGTCACAGTGAGTATGAAGCGTTCTTAAGGTGAGGCGGTTTCTGCCAGGAAGAGGAATTCTGCATCTTCCTTATTAGTGCCTGCTCACTCATGCCTCCCATTCCTGGCTTTCTTTGGCTGCCTAGCAGACTCTAAAAAAAGGGTTGCTTTCTTATGTTGGATAAAAATCTAGTGGCCATCTCACTATTGCCTTTTGGCAAAAAAAGATTCAGACTTAGAAGTATGCAGGGCTGGAATGAAGTGTGTGTATGGAGGATGGGACTAAGTGAATTACGTATTAGCTTGATCCTGGCTGCTATCTTGAGAAAGGGCAAGTTGAAGCCTGCTATTCCATATATTTTATACGCAGCAACAAAGGCTGCATGAGCACACCTGAGGAAAAGTGACTTGGGCAGAGCTGGCATTCAGGCTGACACACGTGCATAGAAGCCCGTTCCTGCAGCAGCAGCGACTGCAGGTTGTCACTGCTCCAGTTCCACTGGGTATTTGTGTGAAGAGAAAGGCGAAAGCACAGAACGCGCTTGTGAAGCTCATTAGCAGCGCACCCAGCACAGCGCTGGCTGTCACCCTTACAGCACTCTGTCTAGGCTGAACTCTTACACTGTCACCTCAACATCTTTAGCCACTGCAAGAGAATATATTCATTTTGTCTCTATAGGCAGATGCAGATGTTTCCCTAGGGATACCGACCGGATTTGGAAAACAATATGAAAGCTTGCTATGATTTTTACAGTAGCTTATGCCAATATAACAGAATTTCACAAGCACAATACTAGTTTTTATTTTCAGAGTATTTTTTATTACTGTTTCAGTTGTACAATTTCAACATCAGGGAACAATACATAACACAGAGTACATAGCTTGCATTGTTCCCAGGTTTTAAAGTCTTGTCAAGGTTCAGGCTGCAGAACAGAGTTCACCATCCTAAAATGAAAGCAGGCACATACAATACTATATTGCTGCCATATTCACACAATCTTTTTGGCAAATACAAGATTAGGAAGAGCACCTGCTATTAGGCTACTGCATGTACCAAAGGGTTTTGGTTTCACTGATGTGAATCTTTACCATTCTGCCCCTATAACATTTGTTTGCATCAAAGTGACATCACTAGAAAAAAACACATTGTTAGGCAGTTCACTCCTTGATTTTAAAAGTTAATGAAAGGGTGCAGCGAGAAAAACACCTCACAGATGAAACTACAAATCTGAAACGCGTTTTGCATAGTTAAATTTGTCAGGATAAACTTGGGTCTCTGGATTTTTTTTCTTCCAGCTTTTGAACTTTTGCTTCGAGCAGAACAGTTACTCAGAACACTCCTTCAGCGTTCAGACCACCCAGTCACTCCAGCTGCCTTCCCGTTTCTTTGGTTACTTTCTTAACATCTCAACCTATTTTTATTCCTCCTACAGCAATACACTGCTCCAGACATCCACTCCCTCCCCTTTGGCTACTCGTATTTATTTTCCTCAGCTTTTCCCTCCTCTTCAGTCACTTCCACTCTCTTCTGTTACACTTCTCAACATCTCTGGGCTTGCTCTTATCTTCAACCATTCTGATTTTCTCTTGATGAAGAGAAAATGCCACAGTTGTCGTCTTGTTGCATCCAGCTGCTATTGCAATACCACTTCTAAATCCTTTACAAGCATTCACCTCTAAGCACCTCATTCTTTCCGTATTTACACATGGATGTAACCCCAATAATTCCAATGGTTTTACATGCAAAAAAAAATCCAACCCACTGCCTTTAAATCATAGCTAGAAAGAAGAGAGAGCCAGTAGAAGGGAACAGAATGAAAAGTTAAAATCTCAATTTAACAGTGCACGTTCGTTCTCTTGAACTTTTCTGCTCTCTTGGTGTGGAACTAAACATCTTTACAGCATGTGAACCTGCTGCCACACTTTTCTGTTGCAGTATTATTAAATAAGTTTGAGCACATTTGCTTCTTTAATCTGTTGATATGGGTTGTTCTGAATTCCCACTGTTCTTTTTAAATAGTGCCCAGCATCAGGAAAAAATCTGCTCCCTACCTGTTGACATCAAAATGGGAGAGGGGAAAAAAATCACATGCATCCCATATAATGCAGAGGTTGCTGTGATAAGCACACTTTAAAAAGTACTGTAGGGCAGCCTGGATCCCTGACTGCTTACAGCACGAGCAGTTCTGCTAGCAGGTTCTGCACACCTGCTGGGCACAAGATGAAAGCTGTTCTTTCTTCACAGTCTCTCAAACGTTTTAAGTCAAAAGCAAGTAAGTTGTATTTCTGATTGTCTGCAAATTACTTTTTGCCTGTAATAACTTTCACCTCTGTTTCTGTTACAGGTGTGGGTTTGTTTGGTTTTGGATGTTTGGATTTTTTTGGTGAAAGCTGAACAAAATAAGCAGTGTTCAGCAGCACAGGGAGCCAAGCCATGTTTTGCTCATTTGCCCCCGTCCTAGCACTGGCAACAGGTAGGAACATTACTACACATAGACAGAGGCCTCCTGCTTTCCCACAGCTCTGCCCCAGCACAGTACACCACTCAGATTTTAAGTATGCACACAAGCTGATTACTTGCATACATTAAGAACCACTTTGAGTATTTGACTGCACATATTTTCTTTTTAGTATGGCCTTAGGCTTATTTTTCTGTACGTTAAAACATTTAGAAGGAAAATACTTCATAAAAAACCACTATACACTTTGAGATAAGCTAGTGCTTGTGAAAAGTGCTAGGTTAACTACTTTGGAAAGTGCAGTCCTTCACACAGCCGAAGAACAGAGGCAGCAACAGCGCAGGCATCTCCGACCTGCCTGCAGCAGGTGAGGTGCCAACACAGGGAAGGGGGAAGGGTGATTATCCCGGCTTTGATTCCCTGACAAAGACGAGGATACCAGCTCTGGAGCTGACCTGCAGTCTGAGCACCTGTCAGTCCCAGCCTGTCAGCTGTAACCTAACCCGACACGCTGCACGAAACAGCGACCGGTTTTAAGAACTGTATTTCTCCCCTTCTTAGTCAACTTTAAATCATCATCCTTGAGGTAGACAACCAGATATTCCAACACACTTTCCTTGCACCTTTCAGTATTGCATATTTCAAGTAAAAAAATATCTGTTTTCAAACACTGTAGCTAGCGATTTCACTTTTGCCTACAGCATCATCTGTACTGTATCACGTCTGGAATGAGCTCTTTTGTATTAAGTTTGATGCTTTACGTTTTCAAAGCGCATCCAAAAATCAGCTACATGAGGATTGCATTAAACCCTACAAATTAATGATAGTACATGATTATATATAGTGTATATATATATATTATATCTGTATAGTTTTATGGCCAAGTTACAAGCCCCTGAGAACACAGTTTATGCAGAAACACTGGCACCAATAACACTAGTGGATGCAGCTTTATTTAGATGTAATTAGCCTAGAAAGCACCTGATATTATTTATATTTTCTGTTTATAATAGATTAACTCTTTGGATATTCTCATGACTATATTAAGAATACATTTGTTAATCTTAGCATCATTGTGGAAAGATTATATTTACACACAAATACTTGAAGACTTGATGCTGAAAGAGCAAGAAGGGAACAAAAGGTGCCTGATCCTACACCTTTTTATACATGGGTAGTGCTTTTATATCAACTTACATGAATGAGGGTCCCGTGTTTGCATAAAAGTTACAGGTTCAGGTCCATAATGCTTTAGGCATATATAATTTTGTCACACTACTATTTAGACGATTTTTACAAATACGTTCTACAGTAACTGTGTCTACAGGCTCAGGCATTCAGCCCTGAGAGAAACATGAAGTCTGTCCCTTGCAGTTTTTGTGACTTCTGCCAGGTGGGGAACATGTCAAGAAGGAGCTGCTCTTGCAACCCCACAGTAAAATGCACCCGACTGCACAGCACGGGGTACGGTCTCTTGAGTATCCCAATCCACATTAGGCCCAGTCGTGAACAGTTGCTCTTCCACTGGTTATAAGACTTGGACAAGTGAAGTCTTGGTGAAACACTAACAGCTTGCTTAAAATGCAAACCAAGCCAAAACCCAATTCAAAACAAAGTAGGTGTCACCCGACTTGTTTTTGCTTTTGTGTCTACTTGCAGATGTTGCTGTCCAAAAAAGAAAGAGACTTGGGTTCAAGATAGCAACATTACCTCATCTGTAAAAATGAAACTGTGCACTTTTCAGAGTGCAGGAGCTTCTTACATTGGCTACATTCTTCACTGAAGTTGTTCTCTACTAACACCGTGGATACCATCTTGGTTTGCAACGTATTTTAGAAGACAAACTAAGTATGTTTGCAGTACTTTGACAGGTAAACGGAATTCTTTCCTAACTGAAAGAATAGGAATTTTGATAGGTTAATGATGACAACATTTTCGTAGGTTAAAAGTGCAAATTTGTGTATACCTACAGGGAATTTCAAAGCATCCTTCATTTTGATGTGGGTTACCAGTTGAATAGCACGTTTTGACCGAGAGTCATAAAGTATATTTGACTGCTGCCTCCTGATTGTACAGATGCAAAGAACACCTTGAAAGGGGAAAAGAAAAAAAAGAAAAGATATTCTACTGTCAGTTTACATTTATGAGAGTATTTTTAGCCATACAGAAAAAATCTGAGAAAATGCCATAGTCCCAAATACAAGAATACATATATACATATATATATTATATATATTATATATATATGTAGAGGGCATTATCAGGGCTGGCTCACCAGCCCTCCAGCTGGTTGTGCTGGAGTCTGGCCAGTTAGCAATGTCTGTATCTGTTACCACCCCTGGTATCAGTTAAGGCTGGGTGGAGGAGGAGTTGTAACAGAGCTGGCTGAAGTGAGGTAGCGTGAAAGTGCAGAATATCCATAGTGAGTGCTTGGTGAGGTCAGTGACTACATCTGCTTCCAATGGGGAAGTTATACCAAGGGGTAAGAAATAACCAGTGTGAAGACAAAGTTTCAAAAATGAAGCAGCCTTAGTGTCACAGTCAACTGTTACTCATTTTTGCTAAGTCACCACGCTGCAGTCATCTCTGTACCTTGTCATTTCTTTCACATAGAAATTTTAGCTTCTGTGCTTTCTTGTGCATAAATACTCCTTCCAGATTTCCTGTTTCCACGGAGCGTAGTTCAATTGCCTTCTCTCCCCAGCCCATGACCTGATTAGATTGAAGGTAAGCTAAAAGAAAAAAGAAGTATTTGGTACTGTTTAACGGCTGAAAGACTGATTCTCGCCTCATTTATGTCAATATGGATTGGAAGCATTTCTCTTTGGTAAGAATACATTCTGAATTATTTGTATTTTAAGTTTACACAAAAAGCCTTGGGAGCAGTAACTAAATTTCACTTTCTCCTCTCAGACTTACCTTGTACTCTAGACATAAATCTGAAGTACACTACTACTGTGTATTTTAGAATCACAGAGTGTTGGAGGACACCTCTGAAGTGCACCGTGTTTACCTGCCACCCCCAAAGCAGGGCCAAAGTAGACAGGGTTACTCAGGGCCTTGTCCAGACATGTTTTGGTGGATATTTCACCACCTCTCTGAGCCCCTGTTGCAATACATCACTACTTTCATGGTTAAAAATTTCTTCCTAATACTTAACTGGAATTTCTCTTCGTGCAGCTTCTGCCCATTTTCCCTTGTCAGAACAAGTGTGTGAAAACTGTATCTCAGAAACATGTGTGGTTTTGCTACAGTGCTGTCATTTTAGTTCCCTCAAAGTCCGTGAATTTCCCCTAAATCTGTTCAGTAGATTTTCAGTTACTCTTGATGCACACTTAAGGTTTCCCCGCCACTAGAGCTGAAAGAAGAAAGTTCTTTCCCAGTGTCCCAGTCATGTGGAAAAGAAGAAACCACCCTGTTTGAAAAGCAACCCAGCAGTGAGCAACTGAGGATAAGTGGGAGAAGAGAAGGGGAGAGGAGAATTTTCTAAAAATCAAAGACCTGAAATCAATACATTTTTTTCAATCTTTATCCTTCAGTTCCTAGGCTGCAAAACGGGACAGTACTGCTGTAGGCTGTGAGGAAGACTCATTAACACCTCTGGCAGCATGACGAGCAGCAGGGCAGCACTCATGCAATGTGCAGTTAGTACCTAAAAAGGTAGGCCCAGATGACACGTAAAGTGAAGAGGATAACATGATACAATACTCAGACGTTTGCTGTTTTTGTAACAACTGGCACCACATTAACCTTTTCAAACTTTGTGTCTGAACACAACAGAAAGAGGCACACCATGCTTCTGGGGGTGTGGGGTTGGGACAGCAAGGCAGGTGTGTATATAAAGACATCACTCTATGGCTACGCTATTCCTAGTCCACTCATGAGTCTCCTTACCTTTTCCACTACATGAAATCTGTACTCAAGTTGTCAGTATGCTCTGTCTGTATCAGCTATATCCATGCCTTTGGCAGATTTCAATTTGATAGCATCCTTGCAGCTCTCAGTAACAGCTTCATTAGGCTCTGTTGCAACCTCCAAGTCATCTGGGATAGAAACCCCTGGATGACTGGACCACTACTACAATGTTCAGGAGAGACCTGATCTCCAAGCAGCATTATAGTAGGACCACAATAAAACAAATATACCAAGGTCAGCTACTGATTCTCTACCAGATGGCAAATATTACTGAGAACTTGCCAGCTGAAAGTCCAGCACAGAGCCACAAAGATGCTGGAGGGAGTGGAGCATCTCCTGCTGAGGAGCGGCTGAGGGAGCTGGGGCTCTTGAGCTTGGAGCAGAGGAGACTGAGGGGTGCCCTCATTCCTGGGGATCCATTGGGAAAGGGCAGTGTCAGGAGGAAGGAGCCAGGCTCTGCTCTGGGATGGCCAATGCCAGGACAAGGGGCAATGGTCCCAAGCTGGAGCACAGGAGGTTCAAGCTGAAGATGAGGACAAACTTTGTGAGTGTGAGGGTGGCAGAGCATGGCCCAGGCTGCCCAGAGAGGTTGTGGAGTCTCCTTGTGTGGAGACACCCAAAGCCCTGGCCGTGTTCCTGTGTGACTGCTCTGGTGATCCTGCTCTGGCAGGGGTTGCACTGGGGGAGCTTTGAAGCTCCCTTCCAACTCCTCATATTCTGGGAGTCTGTGTAATTTTCTCTCTGATACTGTCCTAAAACACCATAAAAAAAATCTCGTATACCATGAGCAACTTGGAAATAGTTGTTTTGAGTCCACTTTCCACCTCAACATGCTTTGGATAAAAATACCCTATGCTTCCAGCTGGCAGCTTATAAGGGTGTTTATATTACAAAAAATGCAAGACTATTGGTTTCTAGCCACTCTAGACTTAGACAGCCACTCTGGTCCTTTGGACAGCAGCTCAGCAGAAAGGACATATAGTGACTCAGACTGATGTGCCAATATTCCTTAATGTACTGTAACAAAGTCATTCAGAGTTACCTGAAGCTCCCCTGCTTACCCAGATTGCCGCATCTCTTAAAACATCTACAGTTGTGCATGAACTGTTGTTCTTGTTGCACCACTTACACCAGCATTACTCCCTGGACATCAAAGAATATATGCCATAAAGTTAGTACAGCAAAGTGAGCTCAAAATCAGTTTCTTAACATCGTGAAAGCATTAGCAACACTCTAAACATGGGGCAAGACTTGGTATTTCCTGTTTAATTTGAGACCCCATTCAGGGAAATGACTGCTTCAAGGGGAAATGGCTCAGGGAGACAGGAAAGGTGACAGACGTTACTGAGCCACATTTGATCCATGAACTTCTATGAAGTGTCACTGCAATGAACTAATGATCTGTCTCACACCAGTAGCATATGCAGAGTCTGAATGAGACGAGAGCGCTTGGTACCACAGAACCCAGGCACGAGCTACAATCTCACCTCCCTTAACCTTTCTTTTCTTCTTTAAACTCTTTCTCTCTAGAAATCCCTTTTCTGATCTCGTGCACTGAACGTGGCTCACTGCCCTAAGCAGTTCTTCCAATTGACCTCTGCATGGGAGCAGGATCAGGCCAGCTTTTAGCAAAATACCATGCAGTTGGGCTTTTCTGACGAGTGTTACAGAAATAGGACAGGAAAGGGCTTTAATGCACCTTCTGTTCCATCCATATCTCTGTGCCACATCAGTATCACTTCTGACAGTTGTTTGTCTAACCTGACCTTAAAGACTTCTAGTGATGAAGACTCCAAAAATTCCCCGGGCAACTGATTCCAGATGAACCAAGCAATTTGAAATGAGCAAACTGAATATGAATTAAAAGTGTCTGACCCACTTTTGCATGCACAAGTCATGATATCAAACTCCATTTCACAGGGTGAAAAAGTGCGTGTTCACCAAATTCCTTTTTGCAGCCAGTATATGCATAGGTAAAATTCAATGCCAAAAGCTACTGAATTTTGCTTCTGTATACATGTTTGAGAAAATTGCTTCAGGCAGTCATGCAGCTGGGCATGAACATTAAAAGGAGAATGTCCAGCGATGGCTTTGCTGACAGTAAAAGATCGCAGCTATTAGAGTCCATACAGATCTTAAAACTGAGTACATTTCTACAGAGCCCTTCTTTGGCCCTGCAGTCAAACCCAGTATGCTCTACAAAATCATGACTTTGGTTCCCCATTCTTTAGGGAAAGCACGCCTATTTGTTTTTAGGCAAATGGAAGGGTGACACGCTGAGGACTGGGAAGGGAAGTAACCCACAGAGATAGCAGCAGTGTCCTGTGATGTAGCAAAGCTTGTTCCCACTGAAACCCAGCCCCAGGCTCTCCAGTGCTGCTGCTGATCACTGATTAGGGACTGATTCACTGCTTGCATGTACTTCTGTTACACACACTTTAAAACTTCCTGTCTCCAGAGTTAAGCAATTTTGGGTAGAAAAATGGAGAAAGGAGTCAGTGCAATTCTGTTAAATAGTTTTACTGCTATTATTTATATGTTACCTGGATAGAAGTGGGTATTTTTCTTCCTCCAGTCACAGCTGTGGAGAACTTTTACTACATGAGAGAGGCTACAGAGTCAGCATCAAGAAGGAAAAAAAACCTGAGGCTGAATAAAGTCACAAGTGGACAAATTAAGAAATGGGCCGTGGAAGGCAGGTGCGTTTCTGCTGTATGCTTTGGTTAGATTGTACTGGACAGAGGGCTAACACACACAGTTCCCTAACCACCCCAAGCAAGCAGAGAGTAAATCTATGACTACTTTTTTTTCTTCCTAAACGTCTGTTTCCATGCATCTCTGTTCCAAAGCTTCTCTGCTCCCAGTTGTTTCTCACTCCTTTGTAATTATTCCAGCAGAACCGATAACCCAACCCAGAAATGCATCTGGGGTGGCAGTTTGCTTGTTTGAATGCTTTTTGCTGTTTCCCGGTGAAAAAGTGTGCAGGAGATTGGACCAGCAAGAGTCATTTGGATATGAGCAGGCATTTTCTGTGCATGAGCTGGACAGCAACTGTTTCAAGAACTGGGAAGTGTGGTGTTCTCTACCAGTGTGTACAGGGCAAAGGAAATAAGGACCCTTACTGACTCCCCACTCTGGGGATAAGAGCACATACTGTAAGTAACTAATTACTCACACTAAAGGGCAAAAGTGCTCCCAGGTCTTATTGACTTGATGTTTCTTAAACCCCTTGTTAATTCTATTTTATAGAAAGAAAATATTACAGCTATATTTGTATTTAGCCTTATATATGTGAAATATCTTTCAGATTAAACATAGAGTACTTCTACAAATTTAATTTCCCTTGGGATTTGAGTTTCCTCTCTCCAATTTCTTATTAACAGATCGGTCACAGAGGTCCCAGCTTAAAGACTATGAGAGTAAGCTGTATTTAGACTCCCTGCCCTAAATCCATCAATTGCAATGCAAACTGGTTTTCATTTTTTGTAGTCAAGATACTTGCACCAACCACAAAAGTCTTCTTTCAGAAGAATTGTTTAAAGAAATTAAGAAATGAGCAGAGGATGGCTAGAGAGCACCCTGAGGTCAACACAAGACCCTTCTGTCTCTGAAACGCAGAGTGAAGACTTGGAAATAAGCTCATACAGACCCACTGCAGACCTCCAGAAGTCTGACAGGTCCAGGAAAACAGGATCTTTCATGAAGGTTTCAAGTTCCCCCTAAGTCTGGCCGTGCACATAACACAGTTATTCACACTTTGCTCATAAGAGTTAATGTTTTTGTCTGGAGCCAAGAATTTCAAAGGATCGAGAAAATTAAGAGGAGCTTGTGTGAAGCAATTATTTAAATGATAGTTAACAGAGCTCAGGTTAAATTTTGAGTTGTGTGTTGAGTTACAGGTTGGGTTAATTTGTTCTCAGTGGAAACACAATTCCAATCAGAAGTCAAATTAATCTTGTACCACAACGCAAAGATTGACAATTTCTGTTCCAAAGAAATCCATTTCTGAGATACCAGAAGTGCTGCAGCAGCAACAGAAACACAAGGGTTCTCATGCTAACATAGTGGAAGATTTTCAAATGACAACAGAGAGGGCTGTTTAGAGACTGCCTTCCTTTAGCTGTGGAATCTGCAGAAGCATAAGCAATGAAAGGGATGGAGGGATGGATGGAGGGATGGATGGAGGGATGGATGGAGACAGACACCTTTCCTTCTGGAGAAAACCTCCAGTCTTGCTTTCTGAGCCCTCAGAGAAGTTCTACAAAGAGCTCTCCTAACCTTACCATCTAAAACATTTCCCCTAGCTCACCCTCTGCTTCCTCAGCAGGATGTTTCATTATACCTGTCCTACCTCTCTCTGGCTGGGCACCATCTGGTGGTGCCCATGTCTCTAGACTGACTACAGAGAAAATCTAAACTATTCACACAGACAAGACTTCCAACTATACAGTAAAATTCACCAGACAGGATGCCACACTCAGAAGCAGCATCTTCACCCTCTTCCTACTTAACTGCCCTAAAACACAGTAACAAAAATGCTGAGGCAGTTTTGTACTGATAGCTTCCCGTGCGAATTGCTATCATAGTGGTGTGCTGAAGAACAGGGGAAATAGCTGCATGAGCATGTGAAAGTTGAGTGTCCAAATGGCATTCCTCATATTAAGATGTAATCAACTTTGAGACTGTCACGCCTAGCCAGATGTGTACCAAAGGATGTTTTAAATTAGAGTAATTAACCAGCACAAAGGATCACATATTCAGCTGGTCCAAAGGGGTGAAGCTGCATTCGCTTCAGTGCCAGCTGGGTATGCACAAGGAAATGTTTAGTGACGTTGAGTGTGATTTTCAGGCTACACGAATCTCTCTCCCGTATCTGTGGGTTTGATGATTCAGTACTTTCAGCAGCATTAGGAAGAAGGAGTTAAGCTCTCTCTGGTCCACTTCTGAGGCTTTCCTGCCAACTCTATCTAGATCACATGGAAAAGCTGTGAGAGTCATCAGTGCGCAGTGACACGAACTGCAAACTCCAGAGTAGAAGTCATAGATCTACGCAACCCTTCTTGCAATGTCCCCCTTTCTACAGTGGGATGCAAGAAAGCCCTTTGTTCCATATCTATCATCTGTCTTTGAAACACACCATCGAGGAACAGTGAGTCTTCAGGACACAGCATATAATAAAAATAATACAGCCAGAAAAGCCTGCAATAGTTACAGATAGCATCCACGGTTTGAAAAGTATTAAACATGAGATTGATGCAAGAAAGCCCTTTGTTCCATATCTATCATCTGTCTTTGAAACACACCATCGAGGAACAGTGAGTCCTCACCTCAGGACACAGCATATAATAAAAATAATGCAGCCAGAAAAGCCTGCAATAGTTACAAGTAGCATCCATGGTTTGAAAACTATTAAGCATGAGATTAGGTTTAATCTCTGGCAGGACACATATATCAATATACGATTGTTTCTTCCCAAGGCAGGACAAAGGAGTTCCAACCAATGAAGTACATGTGGGAAAACAAAAGGAGAGTTTAATAATTTGTGAAAATCATGTATCATATATGCATAACCTAAGGCGGATAAAACATTACAGTTTGAAGAAAATCCTTGTGTTAAGTAAACTTGCTACTTAACTTCAGCAGCCAAAGGAAGCCCATCCCGTAACGACCTGCTGCTGGAATGCTGCTGTCTCCTTCAGACAATTCACCAGTGCAGCTTCCAATTACATTCAGTACTTCTCATCAGAACCCTTCCTATCCTGGCTGAGTAACTGCTTTTGATTACCGATTATTTCTTCTGGTGTTTCCAGCATTAATTCAGGGGGAATGTAAAATTTCAACATATCAAAGACCATTAGATATTCCTATGAAAAAAATGGAGAACTGGCTTGACGTATTTTAATTACACCCTATAGCTCTGAATATGGGCTGAAAATTGGAGACAGGGCTATTCAGAGAAGGGAGGGAAAGGCTACATAGTTAGCTTAAAACCTTCTACCTGTTCTTTTAAACTGAAGCCGTTTTGTTGCTGAATTTTATGGAAACACTGTACCAATGTCTAACCTGGCCTGGCGTTTACTCAAGGGTGTTATTCCACTGATTTTAATGGACTTTTCCTGAAACTACTCAGCCAGAAGTGAAAGGAGAGAGGTGAACATCCCCGATTTTTCACTGTGGCATCCAGTTTCTGCCAAGCTAATAACATGCTTTGGCACAGTCTGAGTGTCTTGGGCTTTTGTTGTTTGTTGGCATGTTTGTTTTAAGATGCAGAACAGGAGTGAGCCAGAAAAGAAATTAAAAGCAACAAATAATAAAAACAAAAATCTGCCTGTGGTGTTCTTGGTTTTCCCCACACCGTTAAACTTGAAGCCCTCTGGGGAAGGTGAAACAAGCAGCTGTCCTGGCTACCACACCGTCAGAATCCCCTCCTACAACGCTGACTGCAAGCACGGAGAGACCGAGAACCTCTTGGAAATACCCTGGGCTGGCAATGCTGAATTTAACGTGATAAAATTAAGGGGCCATTTGACAGCAGTCACAGACCTCTTCAATAGCTGACCTCTCTACAGTTGTGAATTTTTACATAAAAGGCTATGGGCTGTGAACAATCAATGCAGGAAACAAGCACCCTTTTCCCTTTGCAGTTAACGGGATTCTCTCTGTGAAAACCAGTGGTACGCTGCATCCTCGGGGAAGTCTGGTTGCCCAGTCAATGGGTGAAGTGATGAACAGTGCGACAGGAATACAAGCTAAGGCGGCCCTATTGCAGTCACTGGCTGTCTTAACACAAACATATTTAAATCTTTTCACTCTTCACACATCGGGTTTGCTCAGGAGTTGTTCATGTGCCATACAACCACTCTCGTACGGATACAAACCCCATAATGAAGTCAGGCTCCGTGCAGCAGTATCTTACATTTAAGAAGTGCTGTTTTCCATACATACCTACAGATGCTGGCATTTCTCCCCACTGTAGAACAGTCTCCTTTGTGAAATGCCCGTATATATCAATGTAGATGCCTTCGTCTTCATAGGTGAGTAACAGCTCCATTCCGCTGGTGTTCGGGAGGATGATGATGGCATGTGGGCGAATAGTGCCCTGGATCTAGAACCACATTGTACTGAGATTTGTATCAGAGAACGGACTGCCGTTTTAGTGAGCACATCAATCTAACCAGCTCGCCACAGCAGTAAAACAAACCACCCCAGCTCATGGAAAGTGAAAGAAATGGCTGTTTTCAGAAAGGCTGTGCATTCTGCTAGCCTGCCTCTGAAACGGGCCTTCTCCTCTCCTCCCCCTGTGACATGACCGGAGGTTTGCAAGCAAATCACCGTTCCGTATTTCACTTCATATTTACCCGTATTGATTGGTTTCAAGAAGCCATGGAGCCACCGAGACACAATAATATTTACTTCCTCAGTCACAAAACACTTGCATCGTGTAAACAGGAGAAAGGTAAAATAAATCTTAATTCACGGCTATTTCAGAAGATGGAGGAAGGACAAAAGCCTCCACACGCCAGGAAATCGCTGCTTTCACTTTCCATGATATTCCCTGTCCTCACTCACAAGCTAAACCCTGTAAATTTAACATTATTCACAGCAAGCTGAAAAGTTACCTGGACCTCTCAAATAAATACAAGCCACTCTCTGTCCTTGCCTTCCCACTTCCTTCACTAAAATAGTTCCCCCTTTAAATGCTGTTCAGCGCACATTTTCTGCATGCCACAGAACAGTGCATTTCACTCACACAAACCATTCTAACAGCTGCTCAATGCACCAGAACCTCTCCCAGAAGCCAACATGTCCCAAGTGAAAAACAAAGTCTGAGAACATAACCATGAAGGTGGGGTTTTGTGACAGCGTTTTTGAAACAAAAAAGGACGGCCTTAAAAAAACAGTAACACAGCATTTCCTTGCTTAAAGCGCTACTCGCAGCAGGATGTTAAATCGTCAATTAAACCACTACAATTAATATCTTTACAGGAAGCAATATGACTGGAGCTTCTACATCATTTTCACAAGCCAGCAACACACAGACCTTTTTTTTCCCTTCAAGCACATACATTTATGCACACCATCAGGGCACAATGAACAGTAAAAGAAGTACTGAAGCTGTACTTGCCCACTTGAATACACTCAGGCCAACCACTTGACTCCGTGCCTCCGCAACAACTATCCGTAACACTAGAACGGGTATCCAGAGCCGCAGAGCAATTTTAATGCGTTGCCTTGGTACTCGCATGAGCAATCGAAGCAGGTAAGAGATGAAGAAAGAGGTGGGGAACCAGGAAAAGAGGCTACCAGAAAGCAAGAGTATCTAAAGTCAGCCTGTTAAAGTCTGGTCTGTTGCCACCACAAAGCTCCTTGAGAGAATTCCCCAGTTCTAGCAGATGCTTTTTAACATCATCAAATACCGAAAAAAAAAAAGAGCCACCGTAGCAGCAGATTTATTTCAGGTCTAAGACTCTAAAGGGAAAAGGTATTTTTAGTACGTGCTAACTTCTGGTTGAAAAGCACACACAGATGGAGTCAACCTTAGAGGTGCCCCACATATTCAGGGCAGCCACCTGGGAAATCTCTCTCCTCAGGTACATAATTGTATTTGCAGCCCACTGAAAAACCAGAGCCTCTAAGAAGGTTCACTTTTTTCCTTTGCCTTTCTTATCCTCTTATCTTGGGCAATTATGCTAATGATCTTTTTGACAAGTCATTATTCACCCTGCTTAGCAACCAGCTCCCAGGGATGATATGCAGGCACCACACTTAGATTGATAAACCGATGGGAAGTTTTCATAGTTGTACAGTTAACAAAGCTACTAATGGGCAGATTAGAGAAACCCTCTAACAAAACTAAATCCCTTAAAAAAAAAACCATCACAGAAATAAACAGCACAAGCTTTTAGCAGGTGATTCAACAGTTTGTTCCGTACAGCTACAAAGTTAGTTTTTAATTAAGAGAATTAACGTAACAGCCATGCCCAAACGCCGCGTCCATCAAACACGTGTCTGACAGAACGTGAAGGCTGTCAGGCAGCAGAGTTACCAAGTGGCTTGCCCAGGAGGCATGGGTTTTCATTGGGTTTGAAAATGTGGGGCTGAGTGTGGAGAAAAAAGAAGTCACAAAAGAAAAGGGCTGAAGGCACAGGCTGCAACATGCAGATCTGGGATGAGGCTTCCTCAGACCTCCAGAGCGTGACGCCCGGACACATTGCCTTGGAGGCAATTGCCACGGAGGCTGTGGCACCTGGATGAGTGAACCCTCTGCCCCTGTGGAGCTCTGTTGACTTCAGGGAGGTTTCCAAGCGTGCACAGAAGCTTCCTTGCCAAGAGCCTCCCATCAGACTGGAGCCATGGGAACCCACTCCCTTGCTGGGCCAAAACCCCCAGGTTTCTCTGTACTGGGATTATTCGTGGGTGCACGTGTGTCCCTGGCTCCTCTGGCTACAGGTACTGATCAGCACAAGGGTAACAGTGCAGTGGATCAATACTTAAGTATGTTGCAACAGTCTTTGTAATCCAAGCCAAATTTCAGGTCAATTCAGTGACAATTTAATCAGCTTGTTCGCAAGATTGAAAAGCAGTGTCAGATTGTAAGAGTCTCCTAAATTCATGTAGATATTATTGTGTCTTTGATTGAGAAGTCCTGGGTAAATCAATTATAAATATTACTGTCCATAAAATAGGCTCCCTGACATTAAACCATTAAAATTGATGATCTAAATCTGTTAAAAGCCTTCCAGCTGAACTTCAGTGTTAAAGCAGCATGTGAAAAGTGGTTTTCTATTAGCCGGCATACAGTAATTATTCTCTTACCCTGGCTTTTGAAATACAGCACAGCTCTCAACCTGATCACCACCAATATACAGCCCGAGGAACAGAGGTATTTACAGAATTCTTTGAAGTTCCTTACGTGTGTTGGAAGGTACAGGTCATACACAGATCCAGAGTCCACATCGATAGCATGAAAGCCTACAACTGAGCCATATATAACTTTTAACCTTTGTCCATTTTCAATGGTCAAGTCAACTGACAGTGGTTTTTGATGAAGTGAGGTGAAGGACTGGAAAAAGAAAAATACACCGTGTAACACAATAAAGCTGTTTGTTTACAGACCTGCACATATGATCTTAGGAATCTTCAAAACTCCTAAGCCAGACAACTATTTTTCTTTACTCATATGCTGTATTTAATGAGCTAAATATCCGTCATCCATAGAGCTGCATGGAGAGCTGGATCATCCTCTTGTGTTCTGAAAATAATCCAGACTCTATAGATGGACACAGTAAAAATTCGGCTGAGTACCATTCATGTCCAATTTCCTCTTTTGAGAGAGATCAGCAACAACTCTGAACTCAAATGCACATTTTGGCCCAGCACTGCAACACGTTATTCACATCCAACAGAATCACGGCCGTGACAGTTTTACGCCTGCCATCTCCAATGCATGTCAAAGGAGCTACATTTTCTTTACAAGAATACTCATTTTATCTTTACCTAGAAATAAATGTTATACAAAGCTACAAAAAGCAGAAGCAAAGGGCAGGTGAGAGGCAGTGAGAAACAGCGATACACCTGAACCAAAGCAAAGTTTCACTTACCTTGAAAGCCATGAATTTGTGATAAGGCTTTGGAGCCCAAGCATAAACCTCCACTGAGTTTTTCAAAGCAATTACAAGGAATTTGATTCTCTCATATTTTACTGTAATACAAGAAGAACAATTCCTTAGGTACCAGACAGCCACTTAAATCAAAGACCATCTCATCACAGGAAATAATTTCAGCGGACTACTTGTAGAGGCAGACATTATCCAGCGAGGGAGAATAATGGACTCTGGACATCAGTGTTCAATATCACCAGTGCCAACACCTTGACTGAAAACCTATAGGTAATTTATTCTCAGTAAAGCCAGATGACTGTTAACATTTATACATTGCTTTACATACACCTATTAATATATACATCTTAATATATCTTACTAGTCATACAAAGAAGTCTTGACCCTGCAGCGAAGCCAACCTACCTTACTGTTTAAGTGTGAACACACACTGACATTGCTGGCTGTGAGTAAGCTACTCCTGAAGGAGTGGTGACTGTTGGCTGAACAGTTCTGTTACACTCTGTAGGATGAATTTTCATGTCACTGTTCACGCGTGGGGTTAAAACTCCCCATGCCAGTGTGGGTGAAGGACTCCCATGTTTCGGAGATGAGTAAGCATGTAAGAGATGAGCAATTTCTCTAAGTTGATTGAGGTCATGTTGGGCCCATCAAGATTAAATAAATAATCGTTCATTGACAATTCAGGCCTCTTTGTACCTTTTGTTTTCACTCTGCCAGAGACAAGCGTTTACTCTGGGTACAGAACACCAGGGTATCATAACCCAATGCATTCACCCTTGGTTTTATGTTCAGTGTCTGCTCGGCAGGGATTTCTACAAGATGCAGGCGTTACACTACTGAGTAAGGTTTCTTTTCTGTGGGAGGAGGGCTTGATCAGCCCTTGCTGCTTACAAAAGGAGCAGTTCACGCCAGCCCAAACACACTGCAGAGGCATGAAGAGTGGATGAAGATGGACACTGATCAGGAAAATCTCACACAGGCAGAGAAAGAAAAGAAATGAAACTCCACCAAAATGCAGAACAGCACATCCCTTTCCTCTTCTGCCCGGACAAATGACTGTAAAACCAGAGGTGAAGATACAAGAACATTCACCAACAGAAAGAAACCCAGCAGCTCTTCTGTCAGAGACGTAAGAGTGGCTTGTCATAGGCAAACACAGAAGCTCTCCCCAAATGTTTGCCTAATTTTAGTATAACTTTAAAAAAAAGCAACCAACAAACCACACCAAACCCAAAGGCGAGCACTGAAGTGCAACACCTGGGTGCTTAGGTATAACCACAAAGAAAGTACCAACACGCATCTGTTTCACACTCTTTCTTGGATTTAACCCTTGCCACTTTTCAAGCCATGAGATATAAAAGCAAAGAAAGGTCAAGCAAGTCATTTATGAGAGCCAGCCACCTCGCCATCTCCTGCACTCCTCTATCATTTTCCTGTTTGACTCTGCAAAAGGTGCCACTTTCGTGTAGCGTCGTTCACCAAAGCAAAACTCGTGCTACACAGCACACCCCCTCATGCAGTTAAACAACAGGAACTATCACCATCCTGATGTTCATCCTCAAGAATGAATGGTGTGAAGGAGTGAACTTCTTGTTCATCCTCAAGAATGAACTGCCTGGAAGTCAAATAAAAGCAAGATGGTTTTTCAACTGCTACAGCACCATGTCCAGGGAGTAAGTCTGAACAAAGGTGTATTTAGGTCTTTCATGATCTGGAGACAGGGATGAGCTGTAGCACATGCAATCTGATCTACCTATGGACATCCCTCGAATGTGATTATTAGTCCGGTTTTGTAGCAGTTACTCATGGCCAGGAGGAAAGCTGAATAGCAAGGAGGTGGAAAACATCAGTCTAACTCAAACCTTAAGTAACTACAGAAATTCTAAAGCACTGACTGAGCGACAGACCAGGGCTGGCTCTCCCTTCTTCCAGCCGTCACAGGAAACACCCACAGCATCATCCGGTAACTGCTGCAAGATGAGATGCTGCCTGGAATGACAGGGAGCAAAGCATCTGCCACGTAAAACAAGGTCTGAAAGAACTCGGAGACATTAAGCCCAATACACTCCTGACAGAGCTGACCAAAACTGCTGGTGTCACAAGATGCAGAGGTACGATTAAGCAGCTCTCCAAGGGAAAAACCAAGAAGTCCTTACCGACTTTGTAGTGTACGCAGCCTTCCAGGTCCCCCACAGACACCCAGCCCTGCCGCTTCTCCACCTCTGGATCATTGCGCAAAATTTTGTTCCGCAGCCATGATAAGTAATATACCCTCAACTTATTCTTCTTTCCTAGGATTTGCAAAAAAAGATACAGCACTTTAACTCTCCCACAAAAAGCCAAAGTTTTGTGACCTTGAGTACAGCGGGGCTTCGTGCTTTGTCAAGTGAGAGAACAGCACCAAAGAAAAGCCCTGGTGATGGTGACGTGCAGGGGGGGACTGGAACATGAGCAATCCTGTGGCATTTGACAGTGAACCTACCTTGTGACTCAAGTTTCATGCAGGATATTCACACCTGACTAAAATTCTTCCCTTAGGCCAAAGAATAGGTCTGTATAGACACGTGTATCATCAGAAATAATCACACTACCTCGCATTTACTCTTTGGTGTGAAGGAACGAACACAGGTATGGCCTACAATGGCCATTTTGAGTAAGTGTCTCATTTAGTTCTGATTAACTGACAATCTTCATTACAAATAGCTATTCTCTTTTGGATGCCTTTTCAGGTGAGAATTACTTTGTCATCCTTCGTCTCAGCCAGTCTTTCTGTTGTTTTAGTTCATAAATGCAAACACTCAACAGCAGCCTAGGATGGCAGGTTCATATAAAGAGAAGGACTGTGTCGCACAATCCACTGGACCTGGCAATCTGGGACAAACAGCTCTTGCCACTGCCCACCACGGTGAGTCTGGGTACGAGACACGGAGCTGCCATTCCTCGCTGGACCCGTATCTCTGACGCTGTGATGTACTAAGCATCCTCTGAGGGCACTACCATCCATAGGGAACAGGGGCCTGGGTACCTTGCAGAGCAGAGTCCAAGCTGTTTGTGAACAGAGGTTGGAGACACTACTCCATTTCACGTTACTGATGCTTTTCACAATATAGAACACTCTCGTGTTACTGCTCATGCATCTCGTTGAACACAGAATGAGGTTATTTAATGGTATTTTAATAGGAGTGCACTTAGATAGATGCCCACCCATCACAGAAATGAGCAAACAGGCTGACAAACCATAACTTGCTGAGAACCAGTTAATTTTAAGGATATGCAACATTTCATACTTCCCACAAACCATTTTACACATTAACCAGGTAACGAAATATCCCAAAGCCTCTCTGAAATGAGAACGTAACTGCTAAAAATTGGAGCAAGTCTTCCTGTTAACAAGAACACCCGTCCTGTGATTTTCTGTAATAGAAAATTCCTCAACCTAGTTTGTGACCTAATTCTTCTTTTTAATTGCTTCCACTCCAATACAGGTCAGACACGTTTAGACACTGAACTAACCTGATATAGTAATTAGCACATTGAGTCCTTCCAGAACATCCATTTGCTGGAATCGTCTCCTTGTAATCAGCGAATAAACTCTTCCTTGCCCACTTCTGTCCAGCAGCCACAATCCATTCTCTGTTCCCACCAGTAAATTTACTCCTGTTGATAGACGGAAAAAAATACTCCATAAATCTCGTTATGATTCAGAGGCCACCAGATGGTCATTGCTTTGAGAACTGGCTCTTACTTAGTCTCGCTAATGGTACCTGATAATTTCTCTGCTGCTCTGTGGATGACCCCCCAGAAAAACGAAGAGAAAAATAAAAAGGGATCTCACCATTTCAGTTTTTACCCAGCAGAACACTGTATGCCTACGTAACCTGAAGGATGATTAGTTCTGCTGAAGTCAATATTGATCTTTAAAAAAGGAAAACGCTTTGTGAACTTGAACTTCCCCGGTCACCAAAGTGCCAGTGAGCACTGCCAAAGTCCAGCACCGCTCCACTGGCAACACAGGAGATCCAACGGAACGACCTCAGGGCCTCTACCAAGTAAAAGAATATCCCTGTTTCCCCAAATACAACACTCAAATCGGAGTAGGACCAAACCTGTGGGAAGAAGTCGTAAGGAAGTGGAGTGCTTGCTTAAAAACAGCCTGTGTTTGGTGAGAAAGCTTTTCAAATTAAAGGAGTGAATCCAGCTGAAGTCCAACTGCTGCCAAGGAAGCGAAGGCTCCAGTGGGTTGCTGACATCAGAGGACGTCAAAAATGGTGTTTGGCTGGCACAACAGCCACATTTCCCAATCAGCAGCTTCGAAAGAAACGACACGAGGTCTCCTGCTGTAACAGGCAACCTCCTGCTACCAGCAACGCTCTGATGAGTACCTGGTGCTCTTCAGCCTTAATGCACATTTAATTACAGACCTTGCCACACAGCTCTGTTCTTAATTTGAAATCGTGGACTCGTACAAACATGTATCGCACAAAGTCTATGAAGCTGTAAACTGGACATCTGCATTTCCTTTGGATAATGTTTCATCTCCTTCATTCATTTTCCATTCCAGACTCAAAAAAGCGAGGAGGAGTAAAAGGCTGGGCAAGGCCCATAGAATGCGTCTGAAGTAGCAAGATAGTCAAAACAACTCAGGAGCTTAGTGTGAGACTGGGACAAGGTCTGCAGCTGTTGAACACTGGTCTGCCTACACTCATCTTGCTTTTATACCATGTGCAGCTGACCCAGTTATAGGGGTGATCCAGCAAGGGTCTGAGTAAGCACTGACAGCAAGAATTAGGGAAGCCAAGCTTTTGCACAGACTGATGCCTGACCTGCTTCAGATTCTTGGAAAACCTGACATGCATGACAGCAAAAGGCTTCAGGTTTGAATTATTACCACCACGTCAGGGCTCAGTGTGATCAGCTGTACTCGTATGCAGCTTAGACAAGAGTTAAGTATCATGAGCCGCATCAGTTACTAAAACATTTGCAACTTTTGGCTCTTTAACAAGTGCAGTTTCAATTTGGTGCCCGGTCAAAACATTGTCTCATTCTGATGCTCAAAATCCCTTGCAAGTCATCTGTTTGCCATCTTCTCCCAGGAAGGAGGCGTCACGCGAGCGACGCAGGTATCTGCTCAGTGATCCGCTCCGGGACCTCCTGACAGGAGAGGTGCAATGCAGCTGTGAAATCTGCTGGGCACACGCTGCCAGCCTCTGCTGCTGCCTTCCCTTCACACACACACACTCAAGCACTCCTGAGCTCACCCCACAGAGCAGCACAAAGGACCTCCGAGTTGAATTTCTTCTTGTATTTACGAATTTCTGGACTGTCACTCTGCGGGCGGATGTTGGTCGGGTTGACGTTGACAACGGAGCCCTTCCTTGCATTTTCTCTCCTGACAGGCTCAGGTTTTGCACTAGATGCTAGAAGGAAAGACATGTACAGACATGAAAAATGTGAGTGTTTGGCTGCATCTCACATTTCACCTGTTTATAGCAGAATGAAAGAAACCCCAGAGGGGTGAGAAAACACCTTGGGAGCATTACAGAGCCCGAGGGAAAAAACAACACATCTGGAAAATTCCTCAGGCATTCCTCAGTAAGCCCCATGGTAACACAGAAGCAGAGCCACATCTGTAAGAAGGGCAAAAGCAGCACAATGACAGTTCAACAGCGACGAGGAGTTTCAGTTTCTGGAGAAGTTACTGACAGTTTCTATTTCCAAGTGACAGGCCCTCCCCACTGCCCCTCAGGACAAAAGAAACCAGCAGTGACATTTTCTGAGAAGTGTAAAGCATACTCACGAGAGCTACAAGAGGGTCCTACTGGACTGGTGGGAGGGGTGATAGGCAGAAGTCTAGGGTCTATGAACGAAGTAAACGATGTTGTAGATGATGTGCTGCTCTTTGAAGTGGTGCCTTCGGGGCACGGGGTCTACAATGAAAAACAAGAGCTGCTTCAGGAGGAGGATGCCAGAGGAGCAGACAGCAAACAGCAACGCAGTGCCTCTGAGGTCCAGAAGACGTGGCACGTGGCATACTTGGACATGAGGAACAGCTTTAGAGCAGTTAACACGGTAAAGATCCAGTGAGAGAAGAGGAGCAGGGAGTTGTGTGAGGATGCTCAGCCAGGCACTGCAGTGCAATAACCAGTCCCCAGAAGAAGAGCATGTCCACCACTCTCTGCAGCCTTGTCTGCAACAGGGAGCTGTTCAGATCTCTTAGCAGCACAGAGGACGCTGTTGCCTCAAGTGGGGCAGTTCAGGACGGGACTCCTGACAGAGCCGCTGTCTGCCTCTGATGACTCCCCAAGGGACCCCTGTGCTCACAGCAGCGCTGGGGGTCCCTCTGGGGCTGCCAAGACACGCTGCCCTGGCCCCTCGGCACTCCAGCCTGACGCTTGGACGTAGGAAAGCCAGGGACAACGAGCAGAGGTAGATGAGAGTGCTGCATTGCTGATACAACAGGCAAAGGAGCAGAGGGTACAAACCCTTATAGTTGTGTAAATGGGGAGGAAAAAAAGAAGGAAAGTAAAGAGAGCAGAGAGGAAGATTGGGGCAAATAAGTGGAACAATAAAATCTGTTTGGGGGCTCAAGATTTCTTATCCGTCCCCTAGATAAAGCAGGAGCTTTTAAAGAAAAGAAGGGATGTGGTGAAAAATCTCATCATAAAAGGAGACAGGACAGATGAAGTTAAAGGACTCTCAATCTCAGGCTCCTACAGGCTGGAGGAAAGTGATGGTACAATTCATTCAACCTGTACTTCACCTCTTACCTTAGTCAGAAGCTTGTTCTGAGGTTCCTGGCCAGTCAGGGGCACTTTTGGTGGGTTCACAGAGGAGTCTGAAATTTGGCTTTGCTGGAGGAGATCTGGCAGAAGATAGTTCTGGTTGTTTATGCTCCAGAGGCCTTCTTGAGTGCTAGGGATTGGCTTCCCTAAAATCTGATCCTGCATATGAGAACACACAGTTAAACTCCACATTAATGCTATGGAATTCGCGTTAATTAGGACGGGCTTCCACTCCTGAAGTGCTCTACAAATGTTCCTCATCTCCAGACAAAGAAGCAACTTCATCCTCAGAGACACTTAAGATAGAGTCAAGAGACTTGTCCTAGCATTACAAATCAGACCTCTACCTACCGCAGTCAGACGCAGGTACTTCCCAGTTCTGGACCTGCATTTAGTTCAAAGGCCCTTTCCCTTCATTTCACTGCTACTTTCCCTTGACTGAATTAAGAAATCTCCTTCTAGAATGATGACACTCAGTAGGATCCAGTATCAGCATTCCTCATGCAATGATGTTTGGTGCTGCAGATCCTCCCACAGGATCCCACCAGCTTCAAGGAAATATTGTAAACTCTAAGTTGTGAGGCACCACACAAGCTCTCTCCCTGACAGCACAAAATGCAGAGTCAAAGGTCGGTTTCTGGGAGTACACAGCTAGAAGCTTTGAGAGGAAGAAAGGTGGATGTGTAAAGCCAGCGGTGCCCCAGATGAAGAGGGACCTGAACACCATCGGCACTGGAACACAGAGAGTGACAGGAGCCAAGTGCTGCACTAGAAAATTCCCCCTGAATTACACAGGAGCAAAAGGCACCACCAAACTCGAGTGGCTTCTGGCTGGGTGAAGTCAAGGCAAGTCTGTACGTTGTACTGGCCTTGACAAACGACCTACTGAAATAAGAGCAGGTTTTTTTGAATGCCAGCCAAGAGATGAAGAAAAAAAAAAGGTAGTAGATAATTCTAAATGAAAGAGATTTGGCTTTTAAAAGTCAAGTAATTAACCAGAACTCAAATTGATGCTTTAAGTACTTTACATTTTAATTGAACTATAAAAAAACCAAACCAAACCAGTATTTGAGATTAGCAATGAAGGCAGCACGGGGCTTTTTTGTTCAGTTTTGAGTCAGATTCAGCTGAACTGAACCAACTCCCCATTTTATCTGAGCAGTTTGGGACACCCCGACCACTTCCAACCAGTTCGTGCTGATGGGCCAGAGAAAGGGGCGTTGGAAGAAGTCGTGAAGACTCATGATGGCTGTGGTTGGTGAACCAGTGGTGGGAGGAATGGATGGGATTCTCCATGAGGAAGAGGCATCAGAGAGATGAGTGAGGAGAGCTGACAGCCATCTGTGTCTTCTCCTTCCCGCATTGTCCTCCCCAAGTCCAGCAGAAAATGTGACCTCCACCCTTTTCCATCCACCCCCATCCCCAGTCTGGGCCTCGAAGACTCCATCCTTCTCCTCTCCCTCAAGCAGCCTGTTTCCAATGCCTGGATATCAGGGGAAAGGGAAAGCACTGGGCTGGTTCTGCCACAAGAAGAACACTGGTTTTGCCAGTATGTAATACACCATTATATATACACACCATACACCATTTATGAGCTCTTCTCTGAAGCAGGGACTTTTCTCCTTGAGGATGGTGGGACAAAAGCAAAGTGGGACTCCTTCCCCAGTCAGGAAGGATGCCACTCTGCTCTGGTGCTTAGAAATCACACCAGAGGTAAAGAAAACCCCTTTTTCTTCCTAGCCCTGCCACAGCTCACGTAAGCAGCACTGGGAAAAACACCAGCTTCACAGCGATTTATTTTCCTTATCTGTGAAACAGGAGTACACTCAGTGATGTGTGAGAAGTGCTCTGACGCTGAGTGAGAGTCTTGTTACCGTATTTTTTGTCTGTTTTCAACCACAAAGAGCATTGTTCTGCTTTGTACGTCTTCATCTTTTCTGCACTAATATTTATCACAGGGGAAAATCCACCTGACTTGAAGTCTCTACTAGAAACTACAGCTGGCAAGGAAGGAACCACAACTTAACATAGGAGAAGACACATATTTCTGCTAAGCCAGCAGCGAGAGATGAAGTGTTTTCCCCCTCTTCTGGTATTTCAAGTAGTAAGAGATGGCTCTCTTTAAACTGGAATAAAAACAGTCAAGATTTTCAGAAACAGTAACAACGCACACCGACAACAAACAGTACTGTTTTTTGCAGCCTGCCCAGTGCCTTCAAGAACACTGACATCAGAAACCACCAGGTCAATAACAAGGACAGATAAAGGAGCACAAATTCGTGCCTAAACGTAAGCATTTTTACAGAGAGCACAGAACCTGAAACTATACATTTTTTCAAGGCTTACAGCTGTAATTTGCAATGATAGAGCAGGACTTCAGAGTGAAAATGCTGCTGAGAAGAAATGGAGACAGCGTTTATCACGCACATTAACGATCTCCCTCCTCCCCACTGTACCACCCCCTTACAAATGGCCAAATTACCTTCTGTTCCGCAACAGCGCTCTGGGGTTTCAGTTCAATTCCATCTGGGACTCTCGTCCTTGAGAAATCTGCCACTCTGCTGCTTCGCAGTTGCCTGGTAACAAACTCCAATTAATGAACAAAACTACTTCAGGGGAAATAAAAAGAGAGCTCGAAACCCAAAAAGCAAACCCCTCCTCATACGCATTCAAAAGTGAGCATCACTAACATCCACTAGTTACACCTACGGGATCTTGTACAGAAGCAAGCTGGTCAGTCTGTGGGTGGACCCAAACGGACTCAAGCCTGAGGATCACTCACACGCAACAGGAAGCTCTCCCCACCTCCATGGAGACCACCCCCTCCTCTCCCTGCACTTCTTCAGACACTGCATAGCTCGGGCAGGTAGAGCTGGTCCCTCAAGCCGGCCTTTGAGAAGTGCCTGAGAACTTCTCCTGTGTCCTCCTGTGCACTGCGCTGCGGGGTGCGGGTACGGGCCACTCTGCTCTCCAAAGAGCATCTATGGTGGTACCTCTGCCAGTGCCTGCTGGGACAGGCAGCACTGGAATTTCACAGTGAGCATCAGGCCCTGAGACACAGACATCCTCGCCTCATGTACAGAGCAGCAAAGGAAATGTTGCCTGGTGCACGCAGAGACAAGAGGACGTAAGAGCTGCTGGGCTGGCAGGGGCCAAAAGCCCACCTAGCACAGTGTCCTGTCTTCAACAGCGACCAAAAGCAGATACTTAAATAAAAGTAACAACAAGGCAAGCATCTTCTTTGATACAGCCGAGACACAGACATCCTCGCCTCATGTACAGAGCAGCAAAGGAAATGTTGCCTGGTGCACGCAGAGACAAGAGGACGTAAGAGCTGCTGGGCTGGCAGGGGCCAAAAGCCCACCTAGCACAGTGTCCTGTCTTCAACAGCGACCAAAAGCAGATACTTAAATAAAAGTAACAGCAAGGCAAGCATCTTCTTTGATATAGCCCAGCATATCACAGAATCACAGAACCGCTCGGTTGGAAAAGCCCTCTGAGATCATCACGTCCAACCGCTCCTGTCTACCCCCTAAACCATATCCCTAAGTACCTCATCTACCCGCTCTTTAAACACATCCAGGGATGGTGACTCCACCACCTCCCTGGGCAGCCTGTGCCAGCTTCTGACGACCCTCTCAGTAAAGAACTTCCTCCTTATCTCTAACCTGAACCTCCCTTGGCACAGCTTGGTGCCGTTTCACCTTATTCTATCCCCCATCACCTGGGAGAAGAGCCCAGCACCCACCTCTCTCCAAGCTCCCTTGAGGCAGTTGTAGGTGGTGATGAGGTCTCCCCTCAGCCTTCTCTTCTCCAGGCTAAACAAGCCCAGTTCCCTCAGCCGCTCCTCATCAGGCTTGTTCTCCAGAGCCCTCCCCATCCTTGTGGCTCTTCTCTGAACACGCTCCAGAATCTCAACATCCTTCCTATAGTGAGGGGCCCACAACTGAACACAGCACTCGAGCATACTATCACTTCCTACACAACCAGTGGTATCTTTGCATTTTAAACTTCTTCACCCAAGTAGAACTGCCTCCAACTTCTGCCAGCCAGGCTCTGGCCCTATTTCTGCGCGTTTCCACCCCACATTATTTATTTATTCCACTTACGTATTTTTATCCCTTCATTTATTACTGCAATCCATGGAAGCCTTTACATTTCTGCTTCCTCTCCAGTAATTACAAAACCAACAAGACTCAGGATGCTGGTGTGAAGGGCTCTACAGCACAACGCCGCAACTGGTAGGAGAGTGCAAGGGCTTGTTTTTAAATCTGTCCGATGCCATAACAAAGGTGGCTTGGTGAGACAACCACCAACTGAAGACGGCTGTGAAGAAGTAGAAGTTGCTCCTGCCCACAGGAGGGGTAAATATTTGCATACTAAACTTAGGAGGAATGGCAAAATATGGAGTAGAACCAATGGTGAGTGCAAGGACATGTCCTTAACAGGAAAGCAAGCAGCAGCTGACCTTAAATTATGTCAACATCCCACTCATTAGGGGGAGAAAGTAATTCCTAGCCACGTGCACAACTGCACCTCGTTCAAGTTTTGGTAGGGAACAGCATATAAAGTGCAGAGAGAGTAAACTGAACTACACAGAATGAGTCCCAAGAAACTCAGTGTTTTAGGGGGATTGTGAATGCTGCAGGCAATGGAGGAGAAAGCACTCTCGGTAGAGAAGGAGAAATTAGCACTGATGGAACAGACATGCTATACAAGCAGCTCAGATGCTCGATCACATACACTGACGTCCTTTCCTTAAAACAAAAACCTGGTGTGCGTGAGGAGGAATTCTGGCTCATCTCACTGAAAAGAGAAACAAGAGCAGAAGTTGTGTTACTGGTGACAGACAGCTGCCCCAGTCCTGGCTTCCTCAGAAATGAGCTTCCTCAAGGTGGTTCACAGGATTTGTCCAAGAGAATACAAAGCTCTTGTGTACGTACTCGCCCCAAGTCAGGTCCTACTGGGCACCTCCATGAAAGCTGGAGCGTAGAAATCAAAAGGTGTTCCACAGCCCAGGCAAGAACAAGAAGACACAGATTTCTTCTATAGCCAACTAAAACCTGGCTCAAGCCGTCTCAGAAGGCCACACAGAAACACTCCTACAGACTGCAGGGGGCTTCAGATCCCGCATTCACAGGCTTTAGCCAGCAAGAAAAACAAATCCCTTCACTGTGTCCAGAACATGCAGAGTTTCAATGCTGGCTGCTGCCTTCATTCAGATAACTATCCTTTTTGCTATTTACTTCACAGGAGCCAGGATCTATTTCCCAAAGTATCTCTCTTTTAACACAAACAACATTCAGCCGAGGTGAAGGGACTTTGTGAACAGACGAGATTACACTTGTGACTTTACAGGAGTTCCTGCGGTGGCTGTCTGCACAGGAAGGCAAACGGGACAGGGATCACCCTGCTAACTCCACTTCTCTGGAGGAGTGCTGGGTCTCACACACACAGGAGATGCAGATAACACACGCAGATCTCCAAAGGCAGCGATACCACTCCTCCAAATCATTACAGCCTGCAAGGATTGCAGCAATCTAAGACTTACACAGCAAAGGCACTGCTACAGGGCAAATCCGTATTTTTATGTAGAGCCTTTCTGAGGTCTAGGATAAATTCTATGACTCAGAGTGAGTAAAACTTCTTACAGATCAGAATAAGGTGGTTTGGAAGAGGAACAGTAAGAAAATAAAGGCATTGCAGTAAAAAGACAGATCTTTCAGGTGCACTGAGTAAGCTGCAAGATTTTTAACATTCTCCCTCTTCATCTCTCGGCTTTGAAAACGAACTTCCAAAGTGCAAAGCAGGAGCACAAGCAGGCGCAAAACCTCGACCTTCTTCAGAGCAGCACAGGGGAAAAGCCTGGTACCAGGCCAAGGCAGCAGCCAACAGTGCCAGCAGTACCATAACTCTGTGCATCCCCTCCCGAAAGCTGACAAAGCTGCACATGCAACCACGTCAGAAGAGTGAGAGCCCCATCCCAGAGAGCTCTGCGGCCCTGTGATGCACTTCAAAGGAAAGCCCAGAACTTGAACTAAACTGGTTTCTTTGCAGGAATACTAGAACTTTCATTCTTCAGTACTAAAAATACTAATTCTATTTGCAAACAGCAGGGCTGGCCAACTGATCCCTTGACTCTCTCTCACTCGGACCAGCAAGATATTCATGCTCCGTTATTTCTCAGCGGAATGTCCATTTTGCACGACAGGTAAAACACCACAAGATGTCAGTCACAAAATCAGCAAGAGAAACTGGAAAGCTGGAGAGAAACAGTTCGGGTGAGATCAGCTTGGTACAAGCCACAGCATCACCTGGCAACCACAGCAATCGTGCAAAAGAACGGCATTCAAAAAACCGGCACATTTTACAAAACCAAATCCTGCTTACACTATCCCCTCCTCAGAAACAGCGTGGTAAAGAAACGAGCTTTTCAGTGGTAATTATTCCTCCCAGAGTGAACAGACTGCCTGAATACAAAGCTCATGGCTGCCTTGCTTTTTTCACTGTAACTTGTGTTTAGCACAAAGGTGTATGTTTTTCTTTCCCTCTCCTTTTTTCTTTCAAAAACTCCATTTAAACCTAGATCAATGTGAAGTAATGTCTATAAAAGCACCACCTATTGGTATTCAGTTAAAACGAGACATTTCCTCATTGTCCCAGGGCAGCAAGTCACCAAAGCTTTATTACACTGCATCCATCTGATGGAGCAAACATTTACCCCGGGGAGTTCACTACAGGGCGATTAAACTGCTTAATTACAGCTGACACCAATGACTGATAGTAACTTCAGAGGGGAGGTAGCATTAATGTACGCCGACTTTTTTCCACATATTTAGAAGTGTGTAATAAAAAGAAGGCAAGTAATAATTTAAAAAAAACAATAAAAATCAAGCCAACCTTGCGTGGTTCATGTCATCTTCATCACTGCTGCAGGCTTCGTCACTTGATGAGGAATAGTCTGCTGCTTTCAACAACGAGTTGGCACTGTCCTTCCCCTTGGTGAAGTAGCCTGGACTCTGAGCAAAGAAAACTCAGTTGATTTTTTTATTTTCTCATCACTAAACAGCATGTGCAGTATTTTACTGTCCCAGCAAATACAGCTATTGTCACTTCCACACCAAAAAAGCTTTATTAGGAAGTTGATGCTCTTGTTGGTCCATCACCAGTGGGTATCTCACACAGGAACGTGTCCTAAGCCAAATTTTCCTAAAAGCCGAAAGGTGAATAGCTTTAGTCAGCATGTTATTTTGGATCTCAAACATTTATGGCTCAATCTTCACACTCCACAGGAGCACAGAACTACGTCATTTTTTGTACAAGAAGAGGAGTGCTCTGCTCCAGGACTAAAGGATTGCACTGGCTTGAACTCCTTCCAGCCCTGGGCTGCCCCAAGGCCCAGCTGAGCCACGCTGGCTATGAAGCGCCCTGGGGCAGGAAAGGCAACACCAACTCAGCCATGGCTGTCAGACACCCCAGTCCTCCTGTGTCATTAGCAATGGCCAAAACACGGAGTCCTCCTCAAACCTCCTGTCCCTGAGAAGCCAGGAGGAATGGAGGACTCCAGTAAGCCACAGCTGTCCCCTGCCACCCTGCCCTGCCTCCCCTGGAGCCACCCAGGACTGCCTGAGAAGTTTTACAATTACAACCATCCCACAAACTTTTAAAACTTGACAAGTTCTTGCACAAGGCACTGAGAGCTCCAGTTGTCTGACAGGCATCCCCTCCACTCCCCTCCCCTGTCAAAAACACCACCAAAGAAAAGAAATGCCTCGGTAAATAGGACAGAGGAGTAGCAATCATCCTTCCCATCAGTGGCACGTCAAGGAATGGAGGGCCAGGACAGCCCTGGGTGTGTTACAGCCTGATACCACAGGTTCCAGGCAGTTACACATGGGATATCTGCACAAGCCACAGCCATGGTCTTGACGTCTGGGTTGCGTGACAAGTGATCGATGACTTGCTGAAATACTAAAGACATACCCTTCCTTTCTGAAGATTTACGATCAGGCAGGTTCAGGAAAACCGAACTCTCTGCTGACAATAAGAGCTGGACACAAGTCACACCTGGACCGAAAACTGCTGAGATACATGACTGCAGCAGTAAGCTCAAACCAGTCCCACGCAGCCTCTCGGGTGGACTCACAGCCAGCAAACTCAAACACCAACAGAGGAGCTGTCAGCACAGACAAGTCCTCAGTGAAAACTATGAACAGACCCAATCTTTTGTTCAGGATTTAAAGGAACCTACTGCAACCCGGCCTGGATGAGAAACTTTTTCAGACTTCTTATGCAGCTGCAAGTGGTTCTGGGGTGAAGTGTCCTCTTCCCTGGCTGATCCTGGATTCCCTGAAAAAAGAAAAAAAGAAGTTTCTTTTTTTTTTAAATGCACATGCAGCAGAGTGAGAGGGGGAACCAGTAACACCAGCACACAGCCACCACCCACAGCAGCCTCTGCTGACAAATGTCTTTTTTCTCTCTGTTGCAAAGGGAAATCTTTTTGCTTGTTTCCCAGTGGTTCCAGATGCCACAATATTATGTATATAAGTTGACACTGGTGCGGTTTAATTCTGCAAGAGTAAGACAAAAAAGACCAAAGCCTTGGCAATGTACTTCCACTGTGCACCAGCAACAGTTTTATGGACTGGAAAGCAGTGTGCAAGGGAAAAGGGTGAGGGCATCCCTCCCTCTGATCCTCTTCTTGAAGGAAGACGGCCCATCGTATCACCAACTGCTGGGTATATTCCAGCACTGAAGGTGCCACCCTGCTGTATTCCTGTGACTGCAGGCGGGGGTCAGGGAGAGGAGCCTGGGCCTCCAATGCACATTTTCATGAGCAAACAGATGTGGTGCTAAGATTTGGCCTTCATAAAACTGTTGCACAAAAACAGTCTCAAGGATCTGATTCTCTAAACCCAACTGGGCTGGGGGCAAACAGCTGCACTGAACTCTGCTCATGAGCATGGGGTCAAGCTAAAAGCACAAAGAGAACCATTTTCCAGTCCCTGCTTCCCGTGGGGCACACACAGTGTCGGTTCTCAGCTCCACTTCCACTCCAGGCTGTGGGGAAGCAGGTAAAAACAGCCTTCAATTTGGCAGAGACAACTGGCCCCTGCTGCGGGCCAACTCGGGACCTCGGAGACCTACAAGTGCCTCCATGCTTGCACAGCTATTGAACACCCAAGCAAATAGGACCAGAGGAGCTGGAGTCCACCTGCACACGCTGATGCCATCTCAGGAGGGATGCCTGCAAGTAAATTAAGCAAATCTTCCCTTTCGATGCCCCACACTGCCCACAGAACTACCTGGGAAGAGCCAAAGCAGCCTTGAAGAGGTGCTGCCTTCTGCACACAATTCCTGATAGCAGTGAAAGGAGGGAGAGCAGATGTGCCCTCACGCTGCCCCTGGGACACACCAGCCAGCTCAGTGTCTACCTCGTTCAGCAATCTCTCCCATCACTATCCCACTGCTACCAGGAGGACCCCTTGCAAGTTAAGCGGGGAGAATTCAAGCTCACACCCATTGGGATTTGTGTCTGGTAATTTAGATGGTTTTATCACAGTGGCTTCACATCTTCGTGCATTTTGCAGAGCTTTTACAATTCAGAATTCCTTACTGGTCCATGAGTGTCTAAGCAACTCAGCAGAAGTATCAGCATTAAAGTATTTATAGCCCTTTCCTCCCCAGTTCATTATCCCTGTGGGTTTGGGAAAGCAACAAACTCTTTCTGGAACACCATATGCCAGAACTAGCCGTAATTTAATGACACTTAACAACCCAAGGAGACAGTTTAAACCACAAGGGAGGTTTTCTATTCTTTCCATTGCTGGTGAGGTTTTTCAATTCCCCATGCCAAAATAGCACAGGAGTTACACATCACGCAGACACTGCAAAGCTGAGCTGTGCTGCTGCACCGTTCATCACTACCCCGCTACCAAAACGTAAAATGACATAAGAGCAAAACCAAACAAAAGCCAAGCATTTTAAAGTGCGCTTTGACTTCTCCTGTAGCACAGCTTCATATTCTGTGTAGTTAGTGAAAGCAAAACTGGCTTGATTGTGTCAGTTAATGAATAAACAATTTGCTCTTCATTTATCAAGGGTTTGCAAATTAACAATGTGCACCCCACCTTAAAAATAAATGACCTCAGAAGCTCACTGGTGTGGTTTCAGAACGTTTTTAGCATCCACCCTGCTTCGAAATGGGTGTGACTGCCCATGTCCCCCATCTTTAGTAGTCAAGCTTGAGGCGAAGTGTTGTAACACACCACTGCTTTGCAAGTTGCTGCACAAGAAACTGCCCTACAGTTGTCCCACCGAAAACGCCCTTCGGAATAACAAGAGAGGAACAAAGCTGTCCACTCCTGCTCTGTTTCCCTATCTGCCAGAATCTCAGGTCATGCCTCAGGAACTGTTATGGTTTAAAGGTTACCAGCCTGAAAGGGAAGGACAGGGGGTGTCTGTAGGACCCTGGGGGGTCACAGATCAGTGCTGTTCCCTCTCCTTTCTGGCCACAGTCTGTAAAAAACCGAGGAAGCCCGAGGTTTTCACGGGCTTTTCCTGGCTTCCTGGGCTGCTTCCTGTGCACCTTGGGACGGCTGGGCCTAGCTCCACGTGTTGGCAGCATCCACCACCACCCGCTCCCAGCACCACTGCGGTCCCTGGTGCCGAGGCCCTGCTCAGACACTGCCACTGGGGACTGCTGGGATCGGGTTTTGTTAATATCCAGAGTTTGTTAATTTTGTTAATATCCAGAGTTAAATATCCTTTGTCCCTTGTTAATTCCCTTTTCCTTTCCCCTGTTATTTTCATTAAACTTGTTACAGTCTTAACTTCCAGCCTTGTGTGAAGCATCTTTTTCTCTATTCCCTTTTTTTTTAAGCCTCCCCTGGGAGGGTAGGGGACAACAGAGAGAAAATCCTGCTCCCTGGGCTTGCCCTGAGCCTTAAACCAAGATCTGTACTGTAAAAAATGGACAACCACAAGCGAGCCCACTGCATTCCTACACCACCACCAGTGGCAATAAGAAACCTGACAAAGTTGCAATTTGCTTAAACTGGATGAGGCTATCTGTTCTTTCTAACTTCTTTTGCCTTGTTTTTTGTTTTCAGTACCACAATCTTTCTGCAAATAAAAGAATACTGGAGGAACGTTTCATAAGGTGCTGTACAGAGAGTCTTGGGCTTCCTTCAGCCACGACGTTACTAGAGTGCAGAAACACCGGTGTGCAGCAACTGCTCCTCTGTATCACCTCATCAGGGGGCAACGCAAAACAGCAGCATACGGTTATGCAGAAAATGCCAAGAGGTGAACATCAGAACTGAATTACATCTGGATGTCTGTAATGCTGGCTCTGCTGAGTTTCAGCGGTGTCACTAAGTGCGACAGAACCGATTTTTTTCAACCCTTAATTGAGGCAAATCAGATTTTCTATATGGAAATATGTTCACAGTCGCTTTTTGACTCAAAAGAGGAAGTGTTTATATTTTAGCAACATGGAACCTTAAAACTCAGAGGGCTTTCAAAAGCATATCACCAGAAGACATTGTTAAAATAAATATCCCATTTGCGATGCAGCACTGGACATCCTGCAGGAGCCTGCTTCACGTGATAGGAATTCTGCACATTTTTGGCTGATGAATCTTTGACTTGGGAATCACCTGCAGTTGCCTGACTGCTCCGATGAGATCCCATCTCCCACTGCTTGTTGCCAGGAGTGCTGCTGCTGCTGCTCAGCTTCAGTGCGTGTCCCCCAGGGGACGACTGATGACTGTTACTAAACAAAGACAAAAAGCAGATCAGACAATCTTGCATGCAGGAACACAGACTGGAATGGACCTCCCTGGCTACTGAATCGAGTTCCCTGCTGTTCCTGTATGAAATAATCCTCTTGATAAACAAAAAAGTTGTATCCATTGCTGCTCCAAGCAGGGCCACCCAGTAGTGAGAGAAGATGATGGAGGGAACAGTTTCCTCTGGGCAGTTATTGTGGGAGATTACAGAGATTCCCAAATAATTACAAAACATCCCACTATAGGTACTTCTCCCTTGGCCTCTTCACATCTGTGTCACCCAGGACTCCAAAATCTCATGAGTTTTACACATAAAGACACCTGCTCCACCAACACCCACTTCTCAATGGAGAAAGGAACAAGTTGGGCAGTAAAACAAGTTGCCAAGCTTAGGAAGTAAAACAGTGGCTCACCCAGAAACCCAGGCTCAGAAGCCAGTCACTTGTAACACTGCGGTTTACTTGCAGGTTTCTTTTCCGTTTTGCCTTCTATAATTCCCAAGTAGAGAGTATTTAGGGCTTGACTTCACTTGAAAGTCATTTCAGATGATGTTTCTGACTCTGGCTCATCAGAAGTGCTGCACATTATTTTGTTATGTCAGCTAAACCTACTTCCCTTTCAAATCTCTCCAACCCTTGTTTCTCACAGCATTATGTTCCCTGATTAGACATCCTGTGGGGGCTGCCCCTTATGGCCGAGCTCTTTGCATCCTTGGTCTTTTATCCTGGGATATGGAAAAAGCACAGTAGCCTGAAGGGCAGACTGCCAAAATAGTCACAATACATCTACAGACAGCATATTGGCCTGTTCAAGCTAAACCAGGCAAAACAAAGCCACAGGCACAAGCTTTGCAAGCTTTAAGTGCCTATACAAGGAGTTGGGGACAGGCCAAAGCATCCAGGCACCTACTCCCCTTTGAGACCAATGGCACTGGTGCTGATGTAGAGCAAAAGCATCCAGGCTGCCCTGAGCAGCACCACTCCCACGTGCCACCATCGGTGCCAAACGGCTTGGGTCCCATGTAACCTGCACCTTCAGCAGCCATTTAGTCTGATGTGAAGTTGGCAAGTACAGCATCACCAAATCATAAGAGGTGAAAAACCTGCACAACGCGCTGCCTGTTAACTGAGAAATGGACGCACAACTTGCATGCAACCCGCTCAGGAGCGTCAAACCGGCTGGCCCAAATGAAACAACTCATTGCAGAAATTATTACAGATGGAACAGCCCTTACATGTCAGAAGCTGCTTTCCAGCAGAAGCCAGAAGTTTATGTTGCTTGAAAAAGAGGAGGAGATCTACAAGAGGCTTGTTTCTCTCTATATCAGTTATGTCAATCATCAGAAGGAAGCTGGCTTAGACACCTCCTTCAGGTTTAAGATCGGGAAGTTTGGTCAGTTGTTTTTGTGGGTGAACTGACTCAAAAGACAAAATAATGGTAACTGCTATTAAATGAGGTATGAACCCACGTCAGTTCTGGTGTTACTGAAGTTATGACTTTGTTTTTAACAAATTTGCTTCAATTTTCCTATTGACAACACATCAGTGTTAGTATAAGCATAAAACACTTAAGAGCTTACCTTGAAGGGCATCTCTGATGGCCAGGCTGATCCCTGCTGTAAAATTTAGACGTTGTCCTTTCTGGAACCTTAAGGATTTAATCAAATGTTTTAAGTCTGCTACTGATTTTTCAGACTCAGTTAACAAACCTAACGCTCATCCTGTACCAACGCAAAAATAAGATTAACCAACATAAATTAATAACGCTTCAGTGGGACACGCAGAGAGATCTTCCATGATATCAACACTGCAGGATGCAAGTCAGCAGCGGGTGCTCCAATTTGCTCCAGGGCCATGCAATCTATCAGAGTGCAGACTGCAAGTGGTTTGCACCTTCACCTAGAGTCGGTATTTAAAGGGTCAACATTTAAAGCAGACAGGGAAGTGCATCTGCAGTCACTTAATGCAGCTTTCCCTAGGTGGTGGATTACTTTATGTTGCTACCAAAGGGCTGGGGAACACACCTCAATGATTAATACCAAATTAATAAAACAGGTACATGCATGCATACACATACACATCCCTGCATAAATAATCCTGCCCTTTTTCTCAGAAATTCTGTTAGAAAAGGCAGGAACAAATAGCTGGCCTAACAAAAGAAGTGTATCTGCGTTTGCAGATAATATATACACACAGAAACTCATACAGAAAACTGACCTGCTTATAATTTTTTATCTTAGTTTCTAAATTACTGAGACCCAGTTAACGTACAAGCAACGAGATTTTTACCGAGTTTCATCAAGACCAGAGGATGGGTCCTACACATCGCAGGGAAACTGAGGGGAGCGTGATTAACAGCGCAAGCTTCACGTACCTTTGGGGGTTGTTCTTCATTTTGACTCATGCTCCAGAAGACGTCATCGTGCACAGGTCTGAGTGGTGTTGTCACCATATCTGACAGTGAACTGCTGTGGTACACATCCTTACTGGCCCGGAAATTTTCACACTTGAAACAAATGAAAGGCGTGTTGAACTGTGCTTCCCTGCCTGTGTAACAGGACCCAGTCTCAGCAAATATCAACGGTTCTGTTTGTGAGACCAAATTGTCAGTAAACACACGAAGAGCATTATCGTTGGATACAGCCAGACTCACCTTGTTCACTGTGAAGGTATTAATTTCCAGCTTATTAGCATGTTAGGCACAAGTATTTGAAGGCGAAGCGTACAATGAAAAGAAACAGTAAAAACATCTATGTCGTACACATATCTCCCCTTCTTAAACCTACAGAGAAGTTAACAGGCAGTGCACGGTGAATTACTGAACTGGATGATGCAAAAGTTACCGCTGAGTGAGTGCATTCCATTCAAACCTGACCAATGCCTGTATTTTACAATTTAGATAGCATAATCACTGGGGAAACCCACCTCCCCTAGGTTAGATGTTGACTTCCAAACCAGTCTTTGCGAGCCCACCCTCCACACAGAGCCAATGGAGACAAACTGCCAACTGGACGCACCTTCAACTCTCCCGTGGTTGTGAGGGCGCCCTGGCCCTACTCTGTAACAGATTTTTTTTCTTTTACTCAAAAAATATAAAAATTGAGAATGCAGTAAGAAAGAAACAAGAAACTATGTTCAACTGTACCCCATGGGTAGTCACATCCAGGTGCTTCAACTGTGACCACCTGCGTTTAAAAGATATCTTCAAAGGCACCACATTAGAGCATTAGGATGGCAAACACTCTAATCACAGTGGGAGGAGGAAGCTTTCAAATAACTTCCTTACAAGTTCTTCATTCCAAGGAAACAAGTGAGCACTGCAAAACTCAAGCTAAAATACTCAAAACTTGGTCATCTGATTCTTTCTGTATTTAAAAGAGGAAAAAAAAAAAAAACAAAGAAGGAAAGGTCTCTTCAGTTCTCCAGATTAATGATCTACTACACTGGTGTCTTCCAAGGGGAAGAAAGGCAGAGAGCTAAAAATGTCAACTGAATGTACCGGTCCTCCCTGAAATGAGAAATCTTCTTGGACACAAGACCGACGCAGAACACATGGAAATGCTGTGTGAGCCTGGCCCATCTTGAGGGATTGCTATGCTAGAACCAATTTGATGTTACAGAGAGAGAAAAAAATGCTGGAGAAATGCCTGAAGCTACACCACTTTGTGCTGTATCTTGTCAGATCTCCCATGCAGAGCAGGACCAGAGCTCTCCAGAGACACCCGCAGCTGGCAGGAACGCCATGGGCTGATGTCCTTCCCATGTCGGGAAGGAGCCCAATGCCACAGCACATTAACACGCCTCTCCTGGAGGCACCTCTTTCTTAAATACATGGCAAGACCAGCATCTCCATCACCTGCAGGCCTAAGAATCACAGAATGGTTTGGGTTGGAGGGGACCTTAAAGCTCATCCAGTCCAACCCCCATGGGCAGGGACACCTCCACCAGCCCAGGTTGCTCAAAGCCCCATCCAACCTGGCCTTGGGCACTGCCAGGGAGGGGGCACCCACAGCTTCCCTGGGCAACCTGGGCCAGTGTCTGACCACCTCCCAGTAAAGAATTTCTCCCTAATGTCCAGTCTACATCTACCCTCTTTCAGCTTAAAACCACTCCCCCGAAACAAAGAGGCTGGCAATTTTTGTCTGAGTCAGAGTTCAAACTCTCGTGTCCCGACTGCGTTACTGCAATTCAGATCAGTCAGCTGCGGTTTCAGTTTCTCCAAAGAATGACTCAGACGAGTATTTTATTGATTTATCAGCCAAAGTCTGTAAAATTCTCCAGTTCTCCAGTCTTAAAAAGTAAAAAACAGTAACTGAGAACTGCATACAGCTTTTCAACAATGTAGTATGATTAGGAACTCCCTGTAACTCCACAAGACTAATTATTTCATGTGAACAATGGTCAAAATCACTTAAATACGGACAGGTACTAACTCTAAAACTAGTCAAAGATGCCAAACATCCATTCCAACATCCCATCACAACCTTCCAGACCAGCACAGCAAAGTCAGCTGTCGAAAAAGAGTCTCGAGAAGTCTCACTTAGTTAAACATTCAGGTGCTTTTCCTGCCTTTTGGGCACAATAACTTCTGTTGACTCCCTTCACAGAAAACAGCTTTCTCAGCAGTTATAACATCTCATAATTCGTGTCCTTTCATTTTGTCGAAATTACTTCTTTGTCCTACGTGATTGTCACTAATAATAGTTTTTAGTTAACCAGAATTATTTCAACAGCACAGTGTTCCCCTGAAATGATTCGTCGTGGGTATAGGAACAGGTTTTATAGCGAGTGTATTATTATCAGAGCATAGGAATAATCTTTTTTTTTTCCTTGCTACTTTTTCAACAAGATACTTGCATTTCTTCCTAAATTCCAGCTTTTGAGCCCTGAAGACTGCCAGAAAACTATTTGTGCTTAAAAGCAGGGATGAGCTTTGCTGAATCATGCTATAAGTGACTGGGGTGAAACCAAACCTTGCAGATGGTACCCACATGCCTTCTCTGGGCACCAGCACCATGTTCCATGTACAGCCAGGAAGCGATGCCTGCTTTTGGAATGAGTTCTGTAGGACCTACAATACCTCACAATTCCACAGTAAGCCAAAAAATGTCTCAGATAACCTCCAAAATCAGAGTGTTTGATATTTCTCTTAAGTTTTATAGATAAAATAATGTGTTGGGGGGCAGGGGAGAGGGAGAATTTGAAAAAAAAAAACCACCAACAAACCCCTAATAATGATTCTAAATCACTAAAACCCAAGCCTTAAATTGTTTCTATTATAAGCAACATTGAAAGTTCAGCAGCTCCCCTCTGGCACAGAAAGCCCTGGTAGACAAAAATGTTACCTACTCTGTGTCTTCAAACCGTAAAGGTACATCCAACACAGCTAAGGGAAAGGAGCTTTTGCGCTCTGAAATTATAACACAAGGTGATACAAGACAAAACACTGATTACTAGAGTTAATTTAAAAATATTTAGGAGCAAGACGTTTCAAAACAGACAGGCTGCACTGCTTTTTGGAGGATGCCTAAGTTCCTAATTTGAACTGACTCTACAGACACGGGGTGATAAGTGCAAGTGCTGTTACAAAACAGCGTAAGGATTTTCTTGAACTTTCAAGCAGATCTGCTCTAGGATACTGGGTCAAACCATGACTTAATGCACAGCTAGCTCTAATATAGTTATCTTTCTTCTTCTGTTTCAGCCACATTACTCCAGACAATACAGGAGATCTAGCTAGCAAATCCCACAGGAAAACCATAGGGTCAATTTAAAAAGTGGGGCTCATTTCAGATGTGAGCTAAATTCCCCCACTGGTCAGTCAGCAGGAGATGCCGGGCAGAGGCTCAGTGACTTTGTTGAAGAAGTTTCTGTGAAATTCTGCAGGTAGCCTGGAACGACCCATCCCACAGCACCTCCACCAGAGAGCCCGACCCGCTGCCGCGCTGCAGCAAACACAGAACAGCTGGAAACGGTACCCTCTGATCTGGTAATAGCTCACATTTCTCTCACCGGACAAACAGGACACAAGACACTGAGACACCGTACTCCCTGCACCTCAGGGGCTGCGTTAGGATTTCCAGTGAAATAATTTTGAGAGAGATTTGGGCAACCGAGATGTGCCACAAAATCTCAGAGAACAGAATTGTTTAAAATAAGAGGGTACTTTTGTCTGAGCAGAGCAGTGATGACAGATGATCCCTCCCTGACAAACCTGGCTGGAAGCTCCTCAGCACAGACATCTGTGATGGATTCAGCTTGCATTTTAACTCTGCAGTTCATTTTTATTTTAAATCAACAAGTCGATTGATATCCACCCACATATCGAACTTCACAAGTTTATTGCTGTGAGTCTTTTAATCTCCAGGTGACTAACTGGCCCATCACTCATATTGCTTTAACACTTCATACAGGTAATGCAGACAGCACATCCACACAGGCCACTATTAACATCAACAGCTGCTGCCAACCAGCAAAAGGAAACAGAGACTTCAGAGGATTTATAAATTACCACTGAAGTTCATCTGTCTCCATGCTAGCACAGCAGGTAAGGGAGCAGAGTGGCCTCTCCCTGTCCACATGGCCCCGTCAGCTGGAACACGGGCTTGTGAGTGAGCAACAGGGCAGCTACCAGCAGGGAGTGAAATCACTCGGTAGCAACTGCGTAGCACTTGCTGCTATTATCCTTAAGTAACACCATCACTTTAAACAGCATAAAATTTTTACAGTCCAGTTTCCATCAAGGGATATGAAAGAGGTTGGTAAATACTGCTTCATTCCTCACCAGCCCCCTCAGCAGCCAGGACAGGCACGACCAGAGAAGTACCCACAGGATGAAAAGGAATGTCCTAGGTGATGCAGCCAGCCTAGACCATAGCTCCTTTAATCCCAGGAGTGGCATTTTAACAGGGCAGGACTATTCTCTGTACAGCCACTGTACTCCTGTTGAATCCCAAATGCTCTGCAATAAACTATGGGCTCTCCCACTTCCATTGCTGGGGTGAAATATCCGCCTCAAGGAAGCTGCCAGCCTCTGCCCAAGGACAAAAGTCCTTCTTTTAGACCTTGCACCAGCTCTCCATGCTACAAGCCAGGCCATCAACTCAGCCCAGTTACAGTACTTGTGACGTGAAATGACAAACAGGCCCTGGAACAAAGGATGTGAAAAGATCACACTTGCAGTAGTTTACTCCATTTCTACTTGCTGTCTTGTTTTTCTTTTGCTCACTCATGCTTACAGTCCCTTCACAAGAGATTGGGAACAAAGTAACTGCAGGCTAAGCTACTTACTTCATACGCTGTGAAAAAGCAGGATGTTGAAAGGAAGTCGCGTTTTTAGGGCACACTGTGAGCACTCTGAATCACCTCTCCCAGCACTGGTAGAAATAGCAGGAGCTAAAACGTTTCGAGAGGATTCCAATGCAGAGGTTTATCCACGTGCTTTCACCACGCAGGTACTGTTCAGGTACCACTTCTACATCGAACACGGAATTTCTCAAGTCACAGACCTTCTGGGCTCTAACCACAGGCAAAATCTGACTCTGACATCTCCATATACTTCTAGATTATTTCATAAGATGACTAAGGATCTTGCTTGTGCATATGATCTTAAAGGATAAAAATGCTGGTTTTGGACTTATTTTGTAAAGTGCCACCTGTATTTGTGCCATATAAATAATGCATCTTTCATGGGGCGCAACAGCAGAGTCATTCTGGCTTTCTGTGAAACATTTAAGAGTAATATCATGAAATCAGGCATCAAGTATATAAAAATAACTTAATGTAAAGCTGATCTGCAGCAGAAATGTAATTCCATGTAGAGCTTCACAGAATGTGGTGGCACTGAAAACTTCCGAGCTGCTTTGCACAGACTTCAGTCATTTATGCCAGCAGCAAAGGGAATCGGGTTCCAAAGCCCCATTCTGCTTAGGAACCACACACGCTTCCTCCTCCTCCCCGCCCGGGGCGGCAGCACCGTACCTGGACTAACATGGCTCTCTGTGGCGCGGGGGTGCACGGGCTGGAACTGCTGCCAGATCCCATCCTGGTGTGCGGCGCGGCTTCGTGCCCCAGCACTGACGGCCACTGGAGGGAAGGCTGGATGCTGTCACTTTTCTTCCTTTGGTCCTCAGCCTGAGGAGGGGAAAAGCAGCAGCACATTGCACATGCGTTTGCAGCCTGGATGTTCAACAGCAGCACAGCGTGCACTGACTGATGGACCTCCCCACTGGGGGAGGCCAGCCCTGGCGCAATGGGAACCACTACTGCCTCTCCATTTGCAACCCTTCCTTTCCTGTCGAGTTTCCAAACTGCAGCAAGGATAAGGGCCATCTGCTGTGTGCTAGGCCAGCCCATGGGCTGCAGGCTAGGATTTTAGCTGGGAGGAATCATCTGTCTGTATTTGCTACTCTTGGACAACATGCAGCCTGGTTTGCTGTGCATTTTTTACCCCCTTCTACAACGCTGCCATTACTGCATGTTGCCTGCTACTTTCAACACTTTTAAAATACTCTGTCTTTCGTTACTTGCTCTATGGAAAAGACTGAGGGACACGATCTAGAAGGATTAGAGGTCCTTTTATTTCCCCGAGGGCATTGCTCATTACAAAAATCTTTATTCTATGGTTTTGATGCCGCTGCTCCTCTCGGTTTCATTCAACATGACTAATTCCCATACCCCAGTGTAAATCTTCAGCATATCCTCCGATTCAGCAGCCTAGAAACAGCCCTACACAGTAAAGCAGAGATTAATGCCATGAAAACACCAAGCTATCTGTGTCTAGGTGGGCATTCTTAACAGTATCTCTCACTACATCTGGATGTTTGTGCCTACGTCAGGAAGGTAAGCATATTATTAACACAGCCTAGGAAACTGCTGAGGAGATGGAAAATTATTCCACTTAAGTCTCACAGATCTTGACTGGGGAAAAGAAATAACACCAAATAAATCCTCACACAGAAAATTCATTAAAACAAGCCATCACAGTGAAATACCATGAAATTCCAGTCCCAGTGAACTCCACTGTTATACTGCTCTCGAGGCCACATTGTCATTACTTGCAACTCCTAATAATAAAAGGCAAATTTTACCACAAGCAAGAAGGAAAGTGTAAAAATTAACCGTGGCTACACTAAGCTACGGGGTTGTCCAAAAAGTAATTGCGTGTTTGTTTCCTGGGTGAAAGGTTTCACGGGAAACAAAAACTGTATTAAACAAATAGAGTTTCCATTTTGTTCACTTACCTTTTGCCATCTTTCAGGCAACTTCACCATCCTGCGCTCAGAAAAGTTACCTTTTATCAGCAAGAAACAGTTTCAGAACAATTTGGTACCGGCAGCAGTGAAGGTTTTACCATTCAAGGCATTTTGTAAAGAACAAAACACATGGTGGTCTGACGGTGCCAGGTCTGGTGAATATGGTGCACATGGTGCATCCCATCCAAGCTGCAACCGTGTCTGACGAGTGACCAAACTGGTCTGTGGTCTAGCGTTGTTATGGTGAAACATTTTGCAATTCACCAACTCTGGACGCTTCTGTTTGATGGCATCAATTAATTAACCCAGCTGATGACAGCACACATCTGAATTAGTGGCTTGGTTCCTTGGAAGCAATGCAAAACACACAGTACCTCTGAAATCCCACCAGACTGACAGTATAAACATCCCTTGGTGCATATTCACTTTTGAAGTGCTTTGAGCTGCTTCACCACGCTCGCTCCAAGAACTTCATCGTTCGTTGTTGTTGTAGACCCGTTTGTCATTGCCCACTATCACGTGTTTCAAAAACGGGTCGTTTTCCTCACGTTTCAAGAGAGAATCGCAGATGTCAATGCGCTCAGACTGATTTCTTTGAGCCCATGTGGTACCCAAAGATTGAGCTGCCTAATGTACCCAAATTGTTCTAAATGATTTTCAATGCTCGATTTCGGAATGTTAAGATTATCGGCAATCTCTCGTGTAGTTAAATGCCGTTTGGATTCAATCAATGCCTTTATTTTGCAATTACCAACTTTGACTGGCCTTCCTGAGCATAGTGCAGCTTTAATATCAAAATCTCCAGACCGAAATTTAGCAAACCAATGCTGATAGTGCCACAGTTTTAAGGCACCTTCACCATACTCATCACATAACTTTCTATGAGCTTGCACAGCATTTATTCCTTTTTGGAAATAATACAGCAAAATATGACAAAAACATTCCTTCTGATTTTCCATTTGGAAATCAATGCCAAATAAATAGCAGCTAACAAAACCGTGCACTTTCTTCTTCTAGAACAAGCTCAAACTGTCAGCCGTCAAGCTACAGAATGAGTTTTGGTTTAAAATGAAGGTAGTTACACTTCAAGACAAGTATGTTTATCTATTAAAAATCCCACGCGATTACTTTTTGGCCAACTACACAGACACAACTCCTCACCTGCCACCCCTGTGCCCAAAGGCAGCTTTCACGCAGTCTATCACGACCCAGAGGCAAACTCACAGAGCCAACACTGGGCTCTCAGCCTTTGGAGGTCGGGCATTTGGTTTTTTGACAGTTCAGCTGTACTTCAAACAGGATTATTTTCTTGTTTTCACAAACTACTATTTTAGCACGGAGCTCAGTATCTTTCCTGATTTCATATTGCTGCTCAGCTGTTTGCAGACACTAATTGGCTATTAATTGGCTATTAAAACTCATCGTTTCAACAGCCCCGTCAGTTCCATGTAACTGTTTATCAATATAGAAAATTTCAGCTAAGGGAACCAGCTGCAGCGTGCACACACAAAGAGGTGACACAAAGGGCACTCAAAGACTGCAAGATGTTAAGCAGGAGCACTCTGCATTCCTCCTACACACAAGTGCATGGGGTCTCCTCACGTCTTTGCTTGAGTATTTTGGGCAGGTATTTTGCCATGAACGCAGAGACCATCGCATCTGCTATTCTACTTGGACACAGCCACTCCTGAGGAGGTGCCTGTGGGCTGTTGAGAGTTTTGACACTGACCCAGACTTTAGTAAAACAACAAATTGCCCCAGCTGCAGAACTGGGCTCACAAGTTGGGATTACATCAAAAAGAAAAGCAAGTGTGGTAGGAAAGATGAGATAGAGATAACATATGTGAAATGGAACCATAGCTCTTCTCAACGCAGTAACAGTAAGCAGAAGTTGGTAGGCAG